CTGTCAGGCGTGGGTTTCACCGAGGCAGTCTGTGCATGGCCAGCCCCTGCGTGGCCGTGCGGGAGCATCCCTCTCATCTGCTGTCAGCGGCTACAAAGCACAGCCCACACAGCACTCTGTGTGTGTATGCACATACGTGTGTGTGTATTAAAATATGTATGTATGTGTGTGCAACATATATATGTGTGTGTATAGCCATATATGTATGTGTGCATATGCATGCGCGCGTAAATTTGAGACGCTTCCCCGCTGCATTCCAGGTCGATGGGGAGCCACGCTGAGCCGGAGACGGGTGTCTCCCACGCTCTTGTGCACTCGCACACAGGCACACACAAGGCTCACACGGCTCCTTCCCCAGTGCCGTCCATCGCCACCCGGGCAGGGCGCTGAGGCCGAAGCGCTCCAGAGTCTTCCTCACTGCCGGAGCGAGGCATTCGCGGCCTCCTGCTGCCCGGTGGGCTGTTGGGGTCTTTCTGGCTTTATTTTTTTTCTTTTCGTTCTTTTTTTTTTTTTTTCCTTTTTTCCTGGTTTTGGGCTGGCCGTCAGTCGCGCCCGTTACCCGCTCTCGGTGGCGGGCTCCAGGCGCGCAAATCGCGCCACTCACCCAGAGCCCCCCGAGGACACGGCTTTGCAGAGTGGCAGCCGCGCAGGGCTTTACCTACCGAGTGGCCCGGCCGCCCCCCTCCCTGCGTGGGGGGCTCTTGCCGAGGTGGTGCCGCGGGAGGATGGATACCTGTCCCCACCTCGGTCACGCCGCCTCCCTCCCGTGGGGCTGAAGCCCGTGAGGCCCCGCTCACACGCTGCCACCGCCGAGCTGGAGGTGCCGGTCACGGGCTGGTGGCGACCGTGCGGAGTCATGGGGCCGGGGTCGGACCGATGGCCCCCCTCGGGCAGTCACAGCCCGCCCTCCAAGAAGGCAGAGCCGGCGCGGATCCCACTCTGGCGGCTACAGCGGTTGCCTGGCCCCGCCTGGCTCCGCGGCGGCGGAGCGACCCGCACTGCCCCCTGCACTTCGGGGCAGGCGGGGTTAGAGTGGTCACAGCAAAGGATAAAGCGACCAAACAAGCTACCCTCGACCCCGATCGACCAGAGGAACATTTGTCGAGTATCGCCAGTCTTCTGGCTCCCCGCACAGGGGCGCGGAGCATCACCTCAGCTCTGCCCTTTCCAGCCCCGCGGATCTGCCCGGCACAAGCGGAGTCGAGCTCGAGAAAAGCGGCCTCAACAGCGTTTTTTAGTTAAAAAATACCAAAACCGAAATACACACACAAACAAAAAACCAGCATAAAAGATTCCCTTGCCGCTAAAAATTTGCAAGAGAGAGTTTATTTTATTTCCTCTCTTTTCTTTTCTGAGAAGTAGATGTGGGCGCCCGGAGAAATTAACTCCAAAAGGGGTTTGCATTTAGAAAACTTCGGATTTAGCAATCAATTAGTCCGGCATTGTATGGAGTTCCGAAGGTGTAAATCCTTCCAAGTTTCCGGATTATTGACTGTTACGCTCTATCGGGTGCCTAATATCTAGACCTACAGATGCGTAATACGCGTACCAAAGCAGGCATTTAGCAAGGTAAATTATACGCCCCGAAAAAGCGTATTAGCGCCAGTGCGCAGTGAGCTGGTCCCCTGTCCTCCCTCCTTGTCTTAAACGGCGGCGTGAAAGCCCCCCCATCACACTCGCACACCCCCCGCAACCCCGTCCGCGGCGGCGGGGAAAGACGGGCTGCGAACCTGCCCCGCGCCCCGCCGGCCTCTGCCACCGCCCCCGCTCCGCAACGGAGCGTTATTGAGACAAACAAACAAACAAAAGTTCCCGCAACGCGGCTTATAGAAAAAAAACCCCAAACCAACAACAAACCCTTCCCTGGGCTCAGATGTCAACTATTTTCACAAGGAAGTTATTTCCCTCCAAAAATGCTAATGAACCTCGTCAGATAAAAAAAGGTTCTTTTATTTTATAGGTACAAACAACTGTACAGGTATGTAAAGATCGGTATCTCGCTGGTTTGGGAAGGCACACTCGGATGAGCGCGCACGTACTAAAAACAAAGCAAGGAGAGGGCAGCGAGAAGCACAGAAAATAACCCAAAGGAGATATATATCCGTGTCTGCGCTTTATTTTGACCTTTGCGAGGCGAGGCACGCCGATCCGACGGCCAGGGACTCTCGCACGCCGCCGGGGTTCCAAGTGCGGGAAGGCACCGTCCGGAAACAAAAGAAGGGAGCCGAGCTAGGACACGGCCCCGGGGCGCCAGCGGCGGGGACCCCTCGCCCCCCGACAAGAAACTGGAAGGGGCGCGCTCCCGGCACCGCTCCGCGGCCGCAGCTCCGATCGGGGGGCGGTGGGGGCTCCGCGGACCAGCGGGACTGTGGATTGGGATGTGGATTGGGATGTGGATTAGGAGGCAGACGGCGCTGCCCGCTCGCACGCCCCGCGCGGGGGGCTGCGCAGCAGGCGGCCCGGATAGGCCTTCCCGAGAGCCGAGAGGTGGGCGAGGGGGTGCGAGCCCGTTGTTTAACCACTCTCCCCACCCGCTTGTCCAAATAGATATTTTGCAAATTCCCCATTTCGTTGTGGCTTTTTCTCTCCCTCTCTGCGGCCTCCATTGTTCCAGGTTCACACCGCCACCGCCGATAAGGAGAAAGAAAGCCCCCGGAAAAAAAAAACAAACAAACAAAAAAAAAACCCCAAACCCCCAATGAACCAAACCAAACCAATTAAAAAAAAAAAAAAAAAAACCACCAACCCCCCCCCCCCCAAAAAAAAAAGAACCAAATCAAAATAAAAACCCCTCCACTATCCAACATTTTGATTTACGACCTAATCAAAACATTATATCTTTGGTCAAGTGGCGCAGAAAAATGATGACCCTCAAAGCTTCAGCTAGGGGGAGAAAGAGAAATTCAGATTACTCTCGGAGTGATTTATGTCCTCTCTGAGCGGTCACGTTGATTTTTCATCGTTTGAGCCATTACACAGTAGAGTGGAAAACTCTGATCCAATATTTTTCCGGTCCAGTATCGGTATATGTTATTCTTCTAAACGTATATGCGTATAGTATATATTATATATTTAATATTACTACTCACACACATATTCTAAATATATATATAGCGACATTTTATATATATATTTATAAGAGAGGACTATAAATAACCAATGACACGGAGAAGAAACGAGAGCCGAAAAGAGCTTGTAGAATACCGTGCCGATACCCGCAGCGATCCACTCGCTGATTTCCAAGCCCGTCCCGCCGAGAGGATTTGGGCAGAAAAGCTCCCTCGTTTCTCCGGCTTCCCTGACCCCCGAGGGGGGCTTCCAGGCTGCCAGCTCTTCGCCGCCGTCACCCTCAGACTTTTCGCCCACAACCCAGCCAGGAGGAGGAGGAGAAGAAAGAGGAGGAAGGGGACATTTTTGGAAGCCCCTGGCACTCACCCGGGTGAGGTGTTGACACGGTGCGGAAAAACCGAGGGGAGCGGCGCTGGGTCAGGGCGGCGGCAAGGCCGGACAAGCCAGGGGGGGGCTCCCGCCTTCCCTCCCCACACCCCAAGCACGGAGGTTCTTTCTCTCCTCTGACCCCCTGGCAAGAACACACAGAGGAAAAGAAAACAGAAAGGTGTAAAATACTAAAATAATTTTAAAAACCTCAACCACACAACAAAATAAGGTAGACAAAAAAAATCTAATAAAAAATTTTTGAAGAAGGAAAAAAGGGGGGGAGGAAAATAAAAATTAAAGGGGTTAAGTGAAAATAAAAAATGAGGGGGAAAAAAAAGTGGAGTCTGGGGTCTGCCCACGCTGCAAATGGTCCCGCGGGTGAATACCCTGATTTCGTGTGGGGGAAGCATTTTCCTCGTGGGAAAGCGCAGGGTGCTGACCTCTTCTCTCCCCCTTCTACTCCTCTCCCCCTCTAACCGCTGAGGGGGGAAGGAACCCCCTCCACCGTGTCCGCCCACCCCCGGGCTACCTCAGCGGCTCCTCCCGACCTCACAAAAGCGCGCAACGAGCGCGCAAAGGCCGCTCAAGGAGGAAGCTCGCCCTCACCGCGTGAGTTTCTTTCCTGCCGTCCCCTGCTCCCCTCGCCAGTTAACGCGCCTGCAGAATTTCATAGTGTGTCGATATTCCCGCCGGGTCCTGCGGCTGCCCACCCTCCCGGCAGCCCCTCCTCGCCCGCCCGGGGTGTGAGCCGATGGGAGGGCCGAGCAGCAATTCATCTTGATTTGTTTCAATTGTCCAGCGATGGCAAAGTTATAATCCTGTATAATTTCACGAACAAGCAGGTTGAGAATGAATGGGTCAATATTATTTAGAACAAAACACACGAGAGCACGACCTTTCCCTTCAACGACGTGTTGCAGCACGAAGTTGCAGGAAACTCGGGGCTAACCTCTCACCCCCCGCGCTCCGCGGGGTTGCGGTTATTTGGGCTGCTCTTTGTTTCTCTTCATGTCTGAAAGGGGGATTTGGAAATAGAAATGTTATATTACATGAAGGATCTCCCCGCTGAAGGAAGAAGGTGAGTGCAAGGGGCGGCAAAGGGGATGGATTATTTTGAACAGGAGCAGTTTGTTTGCAAATTAGCTGCCTTTTTTTTTCTTTCTTTCTTTTTTTTTCTTTTTTTTTTTTTCCCCACTCCTTGTTCTTTAATGTAATAAAAGCTTCCTTCACAGCAGGATAAATTTATGCTCCAGATATAGCAATTTTGTGGTTGGTAATTCTCGAGGCCAACGATGTCAAATAATCCATTTTCTCAGGGCTGCACAAGGGAATAAAAGGATCCATAGGGTCCAAGCCCCGAGTTTCTCTAGTACGCAACGTTGGCAAGAGGGATATTTTTTTGTGTGTGGAAAAAAAAAAATGCCAGCATTTATTTACATTGCAAAAGTACTGCCACGAGTTTTCGGAGAAGGAGATCCAGTATCAACGATCAGTCAATCACTGCAGACTAGTTACCACTGCACAGCTTGGCTCAGTAAATAAAAAAAATCCAGACAGAAGTGTATGCTGTATATTTTACTCCCATGAAATAAAACACATTTTTTTTCATGTTTGCTGAAAAGTAAAACAATAATATTGTACGAAATGTTATACACAGGGCATGTTTTACATTGCAATATCAGAAACATCATTGCATCCACCAGAGGTACTATTCTAAAACTGATATTCACACAATTTTTTTTAATAATTATATGTTAGAAACATACAGTGTCGCATTTAGTATATACATTCCCTTGCTTGCAAGCGAAAAAATCCTAATCGCTTCTGTGTAACATGCTTTATTTTAAAGCCTAACCTTTTAAAAACACTGTTGTGATATTACTAACAACTGCTTTTATAAAATTAATTTGACATTTCGATATATATACATCCTTTCAGTCATTTTTATGTTAACAATGCTAAACTTAAAAAATAACAAGCTTATAGTAACATTAAAATGTCATATCATATCCAGTCAAACATTTGTCCATATATATATATATGTCCTTGTAACTGTTGAAATACTCTTAGTGAAAGAAAGATCTCAGAATCTGTAGGAGGTCCTTTGAAAACAAAGGAACTATCTTATTTCAGTGGTTTCCTCTTTTTTTCCTCTTTCTCTTTGTCTCTTCCTCTTTCTCTGACTCTGTCTGATTTTTCTTCCTTTCTCTTTCTCTCTAGTGCCCATTACTTTCTAGTGAAATTCTCAGTCTCTGCGGGAAATGGGAAGGGATTCCCATGCAGTGTTTCCTACTTGAATGTTTCACACGGGTCTGTCCACCGCGTACTGGCAAGCACTCAGGTTGGAAGCGGGGTTCTGCACACTGGCATAGCCAAAACTGGAGTGCTGCTTGGCTTTAAGTCTCAGACTCGCCAAGCTCGAGTTACATGTGTCCCTATAAACATACGGAGGCGTTGGAGGAGCATAAGGACAGGCTGGCGTTGGCACTGCAGAATTCAGGGAGGGATTGCTCAAGTTGTTCAAGTTATTCAGGCTGTTGAGGCTGGAGCCAGGGACCCCGGTGACTGCAGAGGGTACCATGCTTGAAGACATACTCATGGAGGAGATGGAGTTTGGAGGGGAGAACATGCTCTGAGAAGACAGAGGGTTGACATTCATGGAGTTGAAGAAAGGAAAGCTTTTGGTGGAGAGGGAAGCGGAGGTCAGGCCCTTGGCCGCCCAGTTGTTGTACGAGTAGCCAGGGTACATGTCATCATAGGGTTGCATGAGGCCGTTAAACTGTGGACCAAAGCCGTTTTTGCATAGCTCGGCTTGCTGGTTCCTTTCTCTCTTTCTCCATTTGGCTCTGCGGTTCTTGAACCAAACCTTTGGAAAGGGGGGAGAGGAAGGGAGGGAGATGTGAGAGGCGAGTTAGTCAGGAACCACTATAACCACCTTTGCAGGTTCTCAGGGCAACAGCCGAGCATGTTCGTATCTAAGTTATATATAAAAATGTGTACGAACATATATATATACACATCCATATATAGACTCGCCTTCTCCGCTGTGGAGCCCCGCGCTGGGCTGGGGTAGCGATGTGCTGCCGGGACCGCCGAGCACCCCCGAGGCCACCCGGGTTTAGCAAGGTAGATTCGTGGCCGCGTCATTCCACCCTCGTCCACCCCCACCCTTCCATTCCCCACCCCAGTCCCCCTGTCCCCCCCACCCTGTTAGCCCCCGTATAATTCGTGATGCTCTAATTCGCGCCACAGAGGCCAACGCTCCCTTCTTATTCTCTCTCTTCCCTCTCCCCCCCACCCCGCCCCTTCATTTCTCTTGTTTTTTTCCCCCTTCTCCCTTGGCTTTTTCCGCCCTGAAGCCATCCAGGGGAAATACAAAAGTGCAAAAGCGAGGGCAAAGCTCCTGGAAATCCGCGTAATATTTAAGGCAGTGGTACGGGGAAGGAGGGGGAAGCCAGCAACTAATAAATCCTTGCTGCAGTTTGCTAAAGCTACAAGTTCCTCCTGCGTGAAAGCTTCCAGTGCCGAAAACTACTTTCTAAACAAACTCGTTCGACTGCCTTTGGCGGGAGGAAGGGGAGAAGGGGGGGAGAAAAGAAAAAGGAATTTAAAAAAAAGGAAAAAGAAAAAAAAAATCGCCATTTAACAACGTGTTAAACGAGATCTAAGGGACCCTCCCCGCAGACAATGGGGAAAACGTTCCCTTTCCCAATCCACATCTGAGTGTCTGACCCGTCGGGCAGCCGCCAGCAGCAGCCTCACCGTGTGTATTGAAACCACCCCGACCTCGGGGTGTTTGTGGTAACCCCCACCCTAGTCGAGCAGGGCGGGAGCTGGCCGTACACCACGGGGTCGGGCCCGATCTGGAGGCATCGCGCGGACCGAAACAAAAACTCCGGCAAAAGCCGCGTTGCGACCGACAGCGCTCCGTGCAGGACACCGGCCCGGCCGCGTCCCGCTCCCGCCGTGGGGCTGCCCCGTCGCCAACACCTCCAGCTCGGGGCGGAGAGCCGGCCCCGCTCGCTGCTGACCCCAGTTCTCACTGTCTCGCTTTCCTCAATCGACATCAGGGGGAGGATTTATGTGGGATTTCCGAAAGTCTGAAGGTTCGGCCCATTTACAGGCTTCTTTTTGCATGTGCGTGTTGGGGTTTGTTGTTTTTCTTTTTTTCCCCCAGCGTGGCGTTTGCAGGCGAGCAGGATCCGGCCGCGGCATCTCTGCAGCGCCGCGATGGTCCCATAAATCTCAGAGGGGGGGAAAGGGCGGAGAGAGACGCTCGTCGAATTGTGAAACCAAAAGAAATAGAAAATGCAAGGAAGGGCACGTTTGGGAGTGCCTCGGAGTGAAGCAAAAGCTCTTGTGTATTTTACATCTTTTTCTCATTAGAAAGAGCGCAGGTTGCAGCCTGTTCCAAGTTGCTTTCTTAGCTAATGTTTTCATTAGCGTTTCGATCAAAAGGAGCGGGACGCATCGCACAGTGAAGGCGAAACGTGCAGCAAACCATATTTCGGACACACAGAGAAGGATCCCAATCTGTCTCGCTCTGACAGAAATGTCCTGCTCTGCCCTGCTTTTGTGCAAAGGCTCAGAAGTTTACATACAAGCCAAAATCGAAAGCAGCTGCAAACATTTCAGCCCTCCTTCCCTTTTCCCACCCTCCCTGACCCCCGCTGCTCCGAGCTGGAGTGCTGTGTCGGGACTTACCCTAACCCTGGCCTCGGTAAGGTTGGTCCAAACGGCGATCTCCTCCCGGGTGGACATGTCTGGGTAGCGATTCCGCTGGAAGGTGGCCTCCAGCTCCTGCAACTGCTGGCTGGTGAAGTGAGTCCGTTGCCGTCGCTGCCTCTTCTTTTTGGAGGGGTCCTCGGGCCCCGCATCCTCGTTCTTGCTCTGTTGACTCTTATCTTTCTCTGGGGGGGGGGGGGTGAACAAAAAAAAAAAAACCAAGGCGAAAAACGAGGGCGCCTCAGCCTCCTCAGCCTCCTCACCAGCGGCTGGGGAAGGGCTTGTCCCCAGCACTGCTGTATCCCGCAGATTGCCCCGAACGCGACTCGGCGCTGTAATGATTAACCAACGCCGGCCTCCCGCCGCCGCGGCCCCTCCGCGCCCGCGGGCACTCACGAGCGGCTCCTCCCGGTGGAACCGCCGCCGCCGGGACAGCGGGACTGAGCCGCCTCTCCGTATGCAAGCGTTCCACCTATCTGCATCCACACTATTCTCCCATCTGTATACATGTAATCCTTATTATTTGCCTATCTACACCCGTATTATTCGCCTGCCTGTATTAGTATTATTTGCCCGCCTATAACAATATTCTTTGTCCGTATATATCCATATCCTTTGTCCATCTGTATCCATATTACTCGCCCATCAATTCCCACATTATTTGCCAGTCTGTATCCATACGGTTCTCCCACCGGTATACGTGCTATTCGTCTACCCTTACACATGTCATTGTCTCTCCTATAGCCGGCACACAGATACCGCACGCGAAAAACCACGAAACGTATCTCGGCTCGGGTGCGGGGCGACCCCGGGCAGAGGGGCGGCGGCGCATCGCGGTCCGCAGGGCTGCGGGGCCGCCTGCCCGCCGGGTCGAAGAGTGAACGGCGGGGGCGCCCTTCGGCTGGGGTCTCTGCCGCTCGCGCCCTCTTACGCCTGCAGGCCCTGCGGGCTGGAGGTGTCGGATGGGTGTGCCCTCCAGCCGGTGTTGGCGGACTCCAGGGGAGCGCCCCTGCCCCGGCGCCAGCGCCGTCGCCATGGCCCGCGCGGATGGATGGTGGTGGCAAGCATGATGAATTTAGGAGGAGGAGGGGAGGAGGAGGAGGAGGAAGGTGAGGAGGAGCACAGCTTATTCCCGGCTCCCAGGCGCTCCAGGTTTAACGGGTCCTTCATGCAGTTCATCGGCAGAAGGACGCCGAAGTCTACGTGCGCGCCTGGGGGGTCGATAGGAGAAGGTATGCGTGTGTCTGTAGGTGTCGGTACGTGTAGGAGCGTCCGCGAGGCGCCCCCTCCGCGGGCGCGGAGCAGCCCGCGGCTAGCGGGCGGTCAGGGTTGCCAGACGGGAGCGCGCCGGGGCGGGCGACGGTCCGAGCTAGCGCCCAGGTGGCACGACGAGGCGTCGGAGCCCCCGCCGCCCGGGCGGCCGCGCGCGGCGACAGTGCGAGAGGCGCAGTCCGGTCCTGTAAGAGCCGGAACGGCGAGCACGGCTTCTGCTCCCCGGCCGGCAGCCCCGACGCCGGCGGGTCTCCGCGGGGCGGGGGCGGCGAGGCGCGGCAGCGCTCCGCGGGGCGCTCCTTTCTCCGCTGCCCCGCGCATGGCCCGCGCCGCGGCCGACCCCGCACAGCAATCAGCTTCAGCCGTGGCCCTTTTGGTCCTGACAATTCTTAACGCGCGCGGCCGTGTTTCCCGCGCCGCACGTCACCACCCGACCCCGCACCAGCCCCCGCACCGCCCCTCCATCGCCGGCACCCGCCCCGCCCCGCGGCCCCGCCCCGCCCGCGCGGCCCTGCGCGCCCCGCCCGCCCCCCGCGCTCTCCCGGCGATGGGCACACCCACCCCCCATCTCAAAACCCCCGCCTGTTTGCCCCGCGGGTGGTACCCGCGCCCGGAGAGCCCGGCCTCCGGCCGCTCCTCACGGGGCACCCCGTCGGGGCGGTCCGTGCACGTCCGTTCCGCGCCTCGCCGCACTCGCGGACCCGCGGGGGTAAGGAGTGGAGCGCTCAGCACTGGCAGAGGCGCTGCAGCAGGAGGAAGAAAGCGGGGAAGCCCCGAGCCCGATTCCCTTCTTATGGAGAGGGTGGAAAATAAACGGGACGGGGACGCGGCCGGTTAGACGGTGGATCTTGGGCTGATAACAGCGATAACTAAACACAAGCGACAAAAACTTCCCCTCGCTCGCGTTCTGGTCTTCCTCTGCCCGCACGGAAGACGGAGAACACGGGGGGAAAATCCCCTCCTTGGCTTTGCCGTTCCTGCCCCTTCCCTGCAACCGGCTCCCAAAAGCTAGCTCCCAAGGAGGCTTTTCCACCCTGGTTTTACAACTTACCCGCGTAGTTACCCGCGGGATGATTCCTCCCTCTCGACGTGGATCCGCAGGGACCGTCCCGCGCCCCCGCAGTAGTCCCCGAACCCACGCCCACGCAAGCCGTTCACAGAGTTCGGCCAAGTCCCACACAGGGCCGGGAGCCGGCACACAACCTTCTCATACCCCTCTCCGAGACTTGGGGGTAGGATTTGACCCCTCGTCCGGGCAGCGGCAGTAGAGGACGGGCTGTGCTGTCCCGTCGTTCCCTGTTACGGGGCCGCTTCATAGCGCGGGGGCGAGGCTGCTGTGGACCTAGGTCTCGCAGGAGGAAGGAGGAGCGGGGCTATTTCACGTGCGTCTAAGGCGGTGGCAGGTTGCCCTCCAGTGCTGGCCAGTTCCTCCTGGGGCAGAGGAGTCTGTCCCCGAGCCCTAGCCCGCAAAGCCGACACTGCCCCAGGGGAGTCGTGGCTGTGGCAGGGATAGGAGCCTGAAGGAGCCCAGGCGCGGGAAATGCAGGTTTGAGTCTCTATCTTCAGTTTGTCTGGCCGGTCACTGGTATCGAAAAGTTACAGAAAGCTTCCCTTTGATGTAGCCCTTTACACCCACATCCCAAAGCCCAAACTTTTCTGTGCCCCGTTCACGTCCCGTTTGCCACATCCCACCCCCGCCTCCCCGCAAGGGTCTTCCTTAGTCGCTGATTCTTGTTCAAGGTATGTATCATCCATTGCAATCTTAGTTATCGCTAAATTATACATATTACTTTCGCAGCCTGTTAGTAAAGAAGGTTAAATTAATTTACATTCTGCTCATTATCTGGTGTTTAAATGACGTGTTTTTATCCCTGAGATTTGGCAAAGAATCTCTTTCCTCAGACCCCACAGCGTTTCGATGGAGACAATGCTCTTACATTTGTAGTGGATTTTAATCTGATAAGACTCTAATTTGCTTAAGTCTTTTAAATAGGGGGTTTAAAATGATTCTAGCCGTTTTCTTATTGAATTTCCGCTAATTCCCCGAAGATCATAAAGTATATGTGTAAAGTAAATATTTCCTCCCTTTGCACCGGCAGTAGATGACCTATAACTAAGTCAATATGAATCCAGCTCCATTCTGCACATTTTGTTTACCAATCATATCCCAGATTCTTCTTAACCTCTCCCTTCCTCCGTGGTCCCGCACCCAGAATCCCCCCCTCTACCATTTGCCCACGGCGGGGCTGTGCCAAGACCGCGGGCAGGGGGCTGCCACGGCCTCGGCCTCGCTGCGAGGGGCACTTGGGAGGGGGCGCTGCCCTTCTCCAGCCCCCAAATCGGGGTTCCAACAAGTCTACAAAGCCCTGGGGAGGGGGAGCCAGAGGGAGAAGGGATACAGTGGTATCTCCTCCCATCTTTTTTTTTCCAAACGGGGCAACGCAACCCTGTCGCAGATGACACCCATCACCACTTTTCTTTTTTTTACATTGATTTATTTTTAGTCATTTGGGGGCAATGCTGGCTTCTTCCGTCGCGGCTCGAAACGAAAAGTCCCTCCCGCCTGCTCGGCTCAGAGTGCTTGTTACGCGCATTATGTCCTCGCAGGGCGCAGCCCCTGTATCCGTCCGCGGTAGCCCTCTCTGTCCTGGGACAGTTGGCATGAGCAGTCGGTTCCTGGCGCGCTTCCCCAGGGAACGGGGAGAGTAGGAGCAGGGCCCGGCCACTGCGCCACCCTCCCACACCCTCTCTAGCACCAGCCTCGCGTCTCCTAGACCCGGGCGGGACAGACCCTCCCGCCGTCCCCGCGCCTCTAAAAGCGGGGCACAGCACTGGCCCGGGCCCTGGCAGCCCAAAGAGAGAGCCTGTCGGCATTTCCTAACGTGCCTTTGATTAAAACTCCCCCACCCCAGGCAGGAGGGGAGCTACCACACAGCATTAGTTGTCATGGTGACCATAAATCACGTAAATCCAAAAATACCCACCTATAATCTGAGATGAAGCTTTTATTTCCCAAGTGAAATAATATTTTAAAAGCTGTCAGCCAACCGAAAAACAACCTAATTGTAGTCACCCAGGTAATATATTAGCGGTAAAGGTTTCAATTAAAATGTCAAGTGTTTTTAAATTTTTTTCTTCATTTTTTTTTTTCTGCTAGAAACTCCCATCACCTCCCCGGTTCGGGTCCTGCCCGCAAAGCAGTCTCACCCGCCTACCGACTGTCCGCGCCTGCTGCGTGTAGCTACCACCACCGAAAAAACTCCAAACATTTGGGAGAATTCTTCCCTTTCCCTTTCGCGCGGCGCTGCAGGGCCCGTCGGGGACGCGCGCCTGTGGGCTAGAGGGCATCCGCCCGCTGCCAAAAATGGAGAATCGGGGCTGCTCCCCACTCCACTCCACCTTCTTTTTAATTTCGTGGGGTTTTGACGGTGAGGGGATTGTTCTTTGGTTAAGGTGATGGTTTTTTTTGGTTGGTTGTTTTTTTGTGTTTGGTTTGTTGGCTTTTTGTTGGTTTTTTTTTTTGGTGGCTTTTTTCTGGTTGTTTTTTTTTTTTTTTTTTTTTCCCCCTTAGAGGTGTTTTTTGACCTCACGCTGCCATCGGCAGAGCTGGCGACCCAGGATGCCCGGTGCCGGTCCCGGTGAGGGAGACTCGGGAGCGGGGCCGGGAGCTGAGAAGCTCGGCTGGGGGTGCTGCAGGGTAGCCAGACCTACTGCGGGTATTTATTTTCCCACTTTTCCTTTATCTTCTCACGAGAACTTTGTTTCTAGGCGTAATAGTCCCCTAAATGGATAAATTGGTTCTTATGTAGAGTCTCCAGCTAGTCCTGTTGTCTTTTACCTTTGGCTTGTTTTCTTTCGCCTATCTCGGATTACCGGGTATTCTCCTCGATGAAGAGCCATTAATTACCCATTCAGTCAATATTAGGAAGACTACAGAGCTTTTTACATAGGATTAAGAAGACATCAGATTGTTCCGTTAGTATATTCCTACTCACGAATAAGCTTTCGTTATACATTTAGTTTTCCCTGGAGTGAGGCTAACAACTGCTGCATATATTATTCTCAGACGACAACCAGGGAGAGAAAAAATTCTATAACCGAAACGCAATAAATAACTTCTAATTTGCGCTTGGCGGGGGGTGCGGGACAGGGAGCTCACCTTCCGCGGCGCCGCACAGGGGCAGCGCACCCGTGGAGTGCCTGTGCCCTGGCTAGGGGACATTCCTGCTCCACGGCGCGGGTCACAATTCCGGGGACAAATTTGGCCACGCTGTGTGAGGAGGAGGGTGAAGCTCGGCTCTGCCTGGCGGCCCAGAGGCGGCAGCGACGCCCCGCTCCGGCTCCGCCTTGGCCCCCCCGCCTTGGCTCCCTCCCGCGGAGGCAGAGGCTGCGCGCCCACCTCGTCCCGAGGCTCAAAAAAGGCACCGGGGACCTTGGCTTTGCATGCTGCCGTGCCTTTAGCCGGCCTAGACGGAAAGCTGAATCAGCATTAGGTTTTTTTAAGTTTTTGTTTTTGAGAAAGAAATGTTCAGTTACAAAAGATTCAGACCAATTCTTTTTCTTTTTTGAGCGAGAGAGTTGAAACAATCGATTTGTGATGCTGAGTGACGATTTAGGGGCGGAAGGTAATTTCAACGTTTTATGCTGGAGGCTGCTGTTTCAGCAATACCTAGATTATCGATTAGAGGGAAGGATTCTTAAGTAGAATTCACAGAGCTAACAAATCGTATAGATTATATAGTACATATATATATATATATATAA